TGAGACAAAAACTTGTTAACTTTTGTCTTTAGATATAGCTGTTTCTTAAATAGGGTCATGATTCCATATAGCATGAAGAGCTAAAAATGGACTATTAATTTATGTAAACACAGGCCTAATCACAGTCCTCTTCTTTTCATAATAAAAACACTGTAAACTTTTAAATTAAGTATGTTACACTCTGAATCAGAAGGAGAGGGGAGAAATATATCCAGGGACTAATTTTTTTTAACCAGAGTAGAAATTATTGCAATACCAGTGAAACAGTAATTTACTGAGAGGTGGGAAAGAGAGGAATGGTCATTTACTGCCTCCTGTTATAAAGCTTCTTTATTTCCCTTGGCATGGCACTCCATAGAGTTCTTCCAAACTGACTTGCATCACATTTCAGGAATCGGGGCATCTCTGAGTGCTTCAGTTTATCCAGTGAAGTGAAAAAGTCTCCAGAATCATATTCAAGGGTATGGATGCACATAACAATGTCACTAATTGGGAACCAGTTCACAGTTGTTGAGAGACAGAGGTGTCCAAACATAAAGTTATAGGTAGAATGGTCACCTGTTACACTGTGGTTCCAACAGCAGGGGATGGAAGTGAGCATCCAGCCCAGCATGTCTCACAGTAGGCCAATTGGTGGAAAGAGGTTGCACCCACACTTTGAAGGTCTTGGGGTGTGGGTGATCTGTGGCTGGCAGCATTTTCACTTCTGTGCTTTCCATTCTTCCCAAACAAGATTTCAGTAGTTTTGTAGCCTACACTTAACTGAACTCTGCAAAGTGCTTGCCTGAGTTGGGGTGCCTAAAAGTGGGGGGAGTGCTCGGACCCAGAATTGGGTGAGGTTAATGAGGGTCCCCCCTCCCCGTTGTCAATAGGGAACAAGGACAAAGCTTGTTGTTAGAGCTTTTATTGAACAAGAAGTGCCAGGGAGCTCATTGATTCAAAAAGTACCAACCAAAAGGAAAAAGGAGCAGTAGAGTTTTGGCTGTGTACCAAGAGTGGCCAGTTGTAGCAACTGGGGTGGTGGAAGGACAGAGAGAGAGAGAAACAATGCAGTGTGGGATGCCCGGAGGATAGACCAGACCTGTGTCATGGAATATGTGTCCACAGGTAATATTTAGCTAGTACACAGTAAACCAGTTCAAAAGAGAACTTGATTTTCTAGGTATACTTTTGAACCATTCCAGGCAGCTTTAAACTGGTCAACAGGTTTGTATATCTGTCTGCTTGAGGTTTAAACTGTATTTAAATAGGTCTAATTGTTATACTTGTCCATACCCTTTTTTACATCATGCTGACCCTTGCATTCTCTACCTGTACTTATTCACATGCATGTCAAGTAGTGCTGCCAGTCTGTCACATAGGAATGATAATAAACAACTCCTATAATGGAACTGGAAACAGTCTTGGGAACTTTTAAAAAAACCACTCAATTTGAGCTCATTTTAAATAGACTCCTAGTTAACAAATATCATACTCTGTGGAAATGAAGGCCCTTACCAGATATATGGTACCATTCGTCAATAACTCTTCAAATACAAGCATTATTATTTACTGATTGTGGGCTTACTGTTTAATATGAAGTTCTTATGAATGTGAATATCCCCCACAAAGGGATGTAGCAAAAATTAATGTTAAGGACTTCAGAGAATTTGCTGTAGTATTAGATGCTTACAAATAAAACAGAAATGTTGATTTTTGTTTTTCTAACTTTAAGTAGCAGTTCTTGGCATACTACTTTTAAAAGACAACATTTAAAACTTTTAACAATAAAAATAAATTCTTAAAAGCTTTTATCATTTGTAGTAACGTGGTACATACAAAATGCTATATATGAAGTCTAAAATTATGTATTTGAAGAGGCAGGATACTCTATTGATTAAAACACTGGTTGGGTCAATAGATCTGGATTATAATTTTGGGTCTAACACTGATTCTTTGTGTGACCTTTGGCACATCCTTGCTTCAATTTCTCCATCAGCAAAATAAGATAAATATTAAAATCAGTAGAATAGTTCACATCCCTCACTCACGCAGGTTTTCATAGAATCATAGGCAATTAGGGTTGAAAGGAATCTCAGGAGGCCGTTTAGTCCAGGCCCCTGCTCAAAGCAGGACCATCCCTGGCTAGATCATCCTAGCCAAGGCTTTGTCTAGCTGGGTCTTAAAAACCTCCAAGCATGGAGATTTCACAGTCTTACTGGAACAGGTTACCCAGGGCTTTACTACCCTCCTAGTGAGAAAGTGTTTCCTAATATCTAACCTAAACATCTCTTGCTGTAACTTGAAGACTGTTGCTCCTTGTTCTGTCATCTGCCACCACTGAGAACAATCTAGCTCCTTCCTCTTTGGAACCCCCTTCAGGTAGTTGAAGGCTATTAAATCCCCACTCAGTCTTCTCTTCTTTAGATTAAATGAGCCCTGAAGCTTAATCATTTGTAAAGCTCTTTGAAACTTCATGCCCCACTACTTGCAGCAGCCAGCACTGGGCTGAGGTTAGGACTAGGGGTGGGGCTGGGGTTGGGGGAGGCAAGTGGCGCTGGAGCACCCCTATCCCATGCCAGCCTGCAGCTTGCCCTGGGATGCCCACGTGGCTGTGGCAGCTCCCAGCCCCGCAAGCCTGGTGAAGGGCAGAGTGGCATGGGGGCAGTGGCAGTGATAGGAGCCCCAGTGAGGGTGCTGCATCCAGGACTGGGGCTGGGGCTAAGGGCCATTCTCCATGGAGCCTAACCCCAGACACAGCTCCACACCTGGCTACATGCAGTGTCCATGGAGACCGGCCCTGGATCTGGACGCAGTGCCATCACTTGGGCTTCTGCTACCACTGCACTTCATAGAAGCATAGAAAATCATAGTATCATAGAAAATTAGGGTTGGAAGAGACATCAGGAGGTCATCTAGTCCAACCACCTGCTCAAAGCAGGACCATCCCCAATTCGATCATCCCAGCTAAAGCTTTTTCTAGGCAGGTTTTGAAAACCTCCAAGGATGGAGCTTCTATCACCTCTCTGGGTAGCCTGTTCCAGTGTTTTACTACCCTTCTAGTGAGAAAATTCTTCCTAATATCTAACCTTAACATCCCTTGCTTCAACTTGAGACCATTGATCTTTGTTCTGTCATCTGCCACCACTAAGAACAGTCTAGCTCCATCCTCTCTGGAACCACGTATTATGTAGTTGAAGGATGCTATTAAATCCTGTCTCAGTCTTCTCTTCTTCAGACTAAGCGAGCCCTGAGGCTTAATCATTTGTAAAGCACTTTGAGATCCTCAGATGGAAAGTGAAATACAGAGACTAATTAGTTTCAAATTAAAAACTAAATATTAAGAAAAAGTTGTTTGCTTATCTGTCATATTCTGAGTCAAGGATACTGCTTTCCTGACAATGACATTGCAAACATATAAGAATGGATGAGAATGGAAATGAATTAAGCTAAATTCAGTCTAGGTAACTTATTTTGAATGTGTGTGTTCACATGGGTTTCATACATTTTAACTAACCAACTTTGAATGTTAACACTGATTATTTTTCTCATCTGCCCCCATGTAAACAAGTCCTTACACCACTCTGCTGTTCCTTATTTAAGTATACATCATAGGAGCAAATCCAATAGAAAGTCTGAGAGCCCCTTTCCCTTTTTGTGTTTCTTTTCTATGCCACCATTCATTAGATCTACCAGTTCACATCGTGCAGTCTTGGTTCCTTTTTTCACTATTTGCCACTTGTCAGAAGTATTCAGTAATTAGGTAGGAATCCATTTGTGCTTTAGATCTGTGACAGCTTCATCAGTTAAGGGTACGTCAAGGCCTGTGATTCTCTCAGTAAATTTCAAGTTGTCCCTTTTCTTTGCTGGAGAGCTACCACAGCATATAGTGGATATTATGGGTCTGAACCTCAAGGCAAGACAACTTGTGGGATGCAAGCCAATTGCTTATAAGTATTTTACTTCATATGAGCCATATCCTTAAGGTGAATTTTCACATATTGGATTTGCAGGCTGTAAAATACAGTGCTTCAAATTTATTATCTCATTTAACACGGGTAAATTTAAAATGCTGTACCCATTTTTAAAGTTTTATGAAGCCATGCACTTCTGCTAAGTCACAGTGATAACGCACTTTAAATGGTGAAAAAAGCAACTTGTTTACACACCTTTAGTGGTAGAATTACCCTGGTCTTGAGATCATAATTATGTACAGTTTGGGTACATAAAGAGGTGGAAAAATAGCAGCTGCCACTGCAGTCACATGATTGCACCACTGTCACAGTGAGAGCTGAAAGTCGCAGCTATCCCCATGCCTCCCTCTGCCCTGGTTTTTTAAGCTACTGTCTCTGACTGATGTGTGAGAATTCAAGGAACTGCCACTCTGCTTTTGGGAACATAATTGAATACAGAGAGCTCCAGCTGATGCTGCTATTCTGGTGTATGAATAGGATGTGACAGCCGGGGTGCCACACTATCCCATGAAGTAGTCAGTACAGAACATTTCTTTTGAGAGTAGGAAGGAAACTTCCATTTCCAGTTCCTGGACAGAAGGACCAAAGGAGAATGGTGCTGAGCTGCTTTTGTCCTTACACGTGGCTTTTAGATCCAAACAGGACATGGGGCTGCAGTAAGAGAACAGGGGCACAAGTATCTATGCTGTAGTGTGTCAGTTCCATTGTAAGAGAAGTACTGACATTCTGGCTCAGAATTCTAAAAGGGCCAGTTCAATCACCCACTATTATGGTATGCCATATTATATGACATATATAATTCTATCATTATTGAAATCGTGGGTCTTAGAGGACAGAGAACTAGACAAACAAGCATAGGAAAAATAGATGAACATGTCATTTTTGTGGACAAGATTTATATTTGCCCCAAAGTTTGATTTAATCTCTATTTTATATAAATATTTAACTGATGGGAAAACAAGTGAAGACACATTTAAATGCTTGCATCTATAACCTTGTTACAGATCCTGAATAATCATTTATCATCATTATCCTTTACTTTTTCAGCCAGCAGACTTCATAGGAAAGCAAGCACTGAAGCAGATTAAAGAAAAAGGGCTTAAACGGCGACTGGTGTATCTCACCTTGAAAACGGATAATGTTGATCCAGAGGGAAATGAAAGTGTGTGGTTTAATGGCAAGGTAAGTTATACAGCTTTAGGCAGGTTTGTTATGAAGCCCTCTTCCCTCACCAACCCCGAAATTTTATAGGTCTGCTTGTTTAGGTGGCCCATTGGGCTAGAAGGGTTAAGACATGCCAGTTTTTGTGACCAAAGGCACGTAAGTAGAGGCCTACTGAATTTGGGGTAGCTGTCCCCCAACTTCACAGTCCAGCGAGGTATCAGGGTATGTGTAACTTTCATGGTGGAGCACGATGCGGGCCCTGCCCTGTCTCTGATTGGCCAAGGGGCCCCGGAAATGCCACCCCTCCCCAGAGGTTGACAGATGGCCCCAAACTGGGGTTTGTTAACATGGTAATAAATGGCTTCCCTGGGCTTGATCAGGGGATTAAGCCTGCGGAAGCCATTAATTGCCACAGTATTAAGCAGTCTAGAACGTGGTTAATGGTGTCCACAGGCTTCATCAAGGCCGTAGAAACTATTAACAGCACCCTAGACTTCTTACTAACATGGCAATCCCCTGCTCAAGCCCCGGGAAGTCATTAATTGCCACGTTATTATTAAGCAGTTTAGGATACAGTTAATGGCTTCCATGAGCTTGATCAAACCCACAGACACCATTAGCCATGCCCTAGACTGCTTGCTAATGTGGCAACTAATGGCTTCCACAGGCTCAATCAGGGGATTGTTGCATTAGCAAGCAGTCTAGGACAAGGTTAATGGCTTTTGGGGGCTTGATCATACACCAGGGGAGGCAGCTCCTTGGCAGGCGGGCAAGCAGGCAGCACCAGGTTGGGCATTTGCAATGCAAGGCAATGCAAAAAAAAGGGGTGGGGGGGAGTCAGGCTTCTTTGCAGGCTCCTAGGCTGGCCCCTGGCTGGCACCTGGACTGAGCCTACATCAGGGGCTCAGCCTCTGATTTGTTCTCCCCCCTCATCCCTCCCCCTGTGCTTTAGGACACTAGGGCTTCCTGCCCTTTCTGTTTTGCAGCTCATTTTTTTTTCTTGTCCCTTGCTCCTTCTCCAGTTTTGCACCTTTTCACAGTCCCAGCACCTTTTCATGGGGATTGGGCTTTTTTGTGGAGAATGACAAAATTTGCGGTTTCCATGAAAATCACGAAATTGCTAATTTGGTAGGCCTCTACATGTAAGATAGTGGCATAGTTAGTGTTATGTCTGGCTGCTTTTGACTCCCTGATTTAAATAACCAGGTTCTGACTTATAGTTTAGTCAGCTGAAGGCATCCTTCAGTGCAGCTCTCAAACTCATGCCCTTGATCTATAGCAAGACACTACAAACTACCACTTCACCCAGCCCATCATATTACAAGAAACTAAAATTCATTCTTCAGGAGTATAATATTAACTTTGCATTTTGTGGAGATTTAAGAATTTTAAAAGCATCCATATTCTTCTTAATAGATGGCTTTTCTTATTAACTGTCATGAAATAATTGTTCAATACAGTCTCTCCATCTTTTCAATACTTGTTCTCATTCCATAATTATATCACCATTCTTGGCTTTTATACATCCCCTAGCAGTACATCCTCCTTAGCCTGTGATGTCTTTGATATTCCTAGGCACTGATGTAACATCCTTTTGTACATTTTTCATTAAGCCATTTTTCCTTTTCTTCATTGTACCTTGATCAAATTCTTTTATCCAGTTTCATCCTTCTTCTTTCTTCCATAAGTTCAAGGATGTCTTCAGTCATCCATTTCTGTTTCTTTTGCCTTACTTCTGCTGGAATAACCTCCTTGTCTGTTTCAGCCAGTGATTCTTTGAAAATTTCCTAGTTTGACATATTTCCTCCATTAGGGCTGTGCAAAATTTTGCCGGCCGTTTTGTTTTGACACTGTTTCAACTCATTTCGAGGTTGAAACAGCAAAACTGAAATGAAACAAAGGACATTGAAACAGCCTTGAAACAAAATGAGGCTGGTCAAAATGTTTCAAAAGTTGAAATATTTCAACCGTAGTGTTGGGGATGAGAAATCGGTCTGTCACGGGGGCGATCAGGTGAAAGAGCCCTGATCCACACACTGGGGGACCCTAGGGTGAAGACCAGGCACGAAAGGGAAAGAAATAATAAAAGAAAAACACTTACCTGCAGCAGGGCCCATGACGCAGCCGGAGCGAAGGAGGGAACCTGCGCGGGTTATAGGCTGCACCCTTATTCAGCTGAGGCCGGCTGGTGATATCATCGGCAATCACCAGCCAGTGGGAATAAAGAGGATCACCAGTGGAGAGCAGGGGGAAGAGTCGGTGGAGGCTCTCAGCACTGACAATGACAGATGTGCCAGGAACGAGAGAGAGCCTGCCGAAGCTCCCTGCACCAGTGGTGACCAGTGTGCTCGGGAGGAAGGAGAGCCAGCGGAGGCTCTCTGCACCAGCAGAGGCTGGTGTTCCTGGGAGGCAGAACAGTCAGAGGAGGCTTTCTGCACCAGCAGAGACTAGCGGGAGCCACAAGAGAGGGATCCCAGCAGGTCAGTAACAGACGTGGCAGTAGCCCACAGTGCAAGCAATGGCTGACCAGACCAGGAAGGGCCGCGAGGTGCAGGAAGGGGGACGCCTCAGACAACATCATGGGAGGACGACTCCACAAGCCGCATTCGGCGGCATGATGGGAGTAATGGCCCAGAAAGAGAAGCCTTAGCCACCCCGGCCAGATGACAGATCATTCCCCAGCGAGTGCCCAGGTACCAGGTGTGGGACACTGGCTGGGGGGGATGAAGACAAAGGGATCGTGGAGAGAGTGACGAGGAGGCTCCTCTGTATCCTAACTGAAGGGTCAGGAAGGTAGCCAGGCAAACTCTCCCCAATTCGTAATTTCTGTTTGGTCCCTTTTTTCCCCCCTTTTCCCCCTTTTGGAGGTGTTGTGTGGTAGGAGAGACAATGCCAGGGGACTAAGTCTCCTAATGAGGAAAGTTCTGGTAAAAGGGAAAAAAGCGCAGGATAGATGTGCCGGCAGGGCGGCTCCTTTCCGTCCTCCTTTTTTTCTTCCGCTTTTTTTTTTCTTGTGTTATTTGCTGTTTTGTCCCTCAGTTCCCAGCTTGAGGCAGGTTAGGGCAGGAGGAGGCCCAGCTGAGGCTAGATAGTGGTTTCGCTAGGCCATCGTAGGAGAAAGTGCTGGGGGACACAAGACTTAAGAGAACGTCAGGGTCAAGAGTACAGTGGCATTGGAGGAATGGCCGATAAGATCCAGTGACCTGCTGAGGTTGGCGTGAGGCTGGGGTGTAGGGGAGGTGGAGCCCCATGGACGGCCGTCTGGGGCTCCACCACTGAGGAGCCCCTAGTGAGTTACCCCCGCACTGAAGTTGCATTCAGAGTCGTGGCAGGTGAGTTTGGGGGTGGCCCCCTTGGTGATAAGCATCTACCTCAGGGTCTGCAAGAAACTTCAGGACAGCCATCACCGACCGTCCACGCCAAGGCAGCACGCGAATGACTGTTTGAGGCCAGGCGGTCGCACAGTCCAGCTGGGCTGACTCCCCATCCCCCGTGCTAAATCGCCACTGGCCCAATCTCACTTCCCACTTCCGGCCCAATCTAGCACAGGGGATGGGAACTCAGCCCAGCCGGGCTGACTCCCCGTGCCCAGCTGATTTAGCGAAACATCGAAACAGTCAAAACAGCCATACTGTTTCGACGAAGAAAAACAGAACAGCTGTTTTGAATCAAAATTAAATTCGATATGAAATGCTGTTCCGTCCAAACCTCGAAACTCAAGGTGAAACAGAACAATGCCATTTGGCACAGCCCTATCCTTCATCTTCAAGTTCTTGAAAATGATTTTTGACTGCAACTGTGTACCTTTCTTTAATCAAATATTTTTCCATTAGAATCAAATAATCAAGCTTCCTTGTTGCTTTTGGTTTCTTAAGTTTCCTCAACCTTATCTTGATGGTGCAAACTACAGGTACATGATCACTTCCACAGTCAGCCCCTGGATAAGTTTTTGATTGTTGAACAGCATTCCTGAATCTTCTGTTGACGATGATGTAATCAATTTGGTTTGTAATGTTATCTCCAGCACTTTTCCATGTATACCTTCTTCCTGGGTGATGTTCAAACCATGTATTCATAATGACTTGATCTTTTGCAACACATCAATCAAAATCCATCTCTCTCCTCTTTCATTTTTCTCTCCATGAGGTCCAACAATATTTCCCACTTGTTCACAACCAACTTTTGCATTTAGATCTCCCATCACTATGACCACTTCTTGAGGTTTGTCTTGCTTTTTTGCTTTATCAAGGTCTTCACAGAAATGATCAATGTCCTCTTCCCCACTTTCAGCTGTTGGTGCATAGATTTTTATTATTGCAATGTTGAAAAGTTTAGCCTTTATTTTCACAAGCATCACTCTATCCGATATTACCCAAAAACCATGCAAAGATTTTGAGGTTTCTTCATCCAAAAACAATCCAAATCCTGTTTTGTGTATCTGACCTCCTGAATAATGATCTTGACATCTTTTGAAACAATAATTCCAGCCTTTTTCCAATGTGTTTCACACATATCTAGAATGTTGATCTTTATTCTTTTCATTTCATGCTTGACATTATCCAATTTCCTCATTTGATATAGAGTTCCAACACTCTCCATTGCCACTTTGACTCCTCTCTCCTGAGTGTGGACAGTAGCGTGCTAATGGTCAGGAGTCACCTGTCACACGACTATCCTTACTGGGTGAAGTTTCCTCACCTTTTGTCAGGGACCCCCTTCATACTATTGTGTGGTTTTCTTAATTTTTGAAAGACCATGGATTATGCTTGGCAAAATACTGTAGCAGGTTGCCACTTCTTGCTGCAAGTTGCAGTGCTCAGCTAAGCTGAGCAAGTCTCCTGTATTGTTGTCCTAGTTGCACCAGGAATTCACCAGATTAAATGATCCACCATCCTGCACTTCCAACAGCTTCAACCATAACCCTGGTAAGGGAGGCTGATGGGTTCAACACCTTGTCTAAGGGTGACCCAGAGACTGCAGTAGCTAGAAGGTATTTGTTTCACTATTACTCTAAGAGT